ATTACAGTATATTATTTAATAGTGCTTCTAATATTTAATGGAATCTTATGTTTTGTGTCTTTCAGTCTTATTTCAAAAGGCATTTGAATCAGCTTTTATGCAGATGCCATTAAGTGAAACAGAAACTTTTTGAAAGACCACATGCAATGGTAAACAGCATGGTATCAAATTAAGCAGCATGCTTAGGTAGCTTTGGATTTAAAATGTGGCATGATTTATGTTAGAAGCAATAGAAAACAACAATATAATGATATTAAAAATTAGGTTGAGCTCTGAAATGTTGCATACTTCAATGAGTAAAAAGAAATGCAACCAGGAAAACTCAGGGAGATGAGTTGGATGGCTGACTGATACAAACAAGCCAGCCCATCTGGGACATTTTCTTTCAAGTCCATGATGCCAAACAGGAGAAGAGCAAGCTTTTTTTTTTTTTTTTTTTCTTCATCAGGTGCCTTCTCCACTCCCAACTGATTTCTTTTTAAAATGTGTCGGTATTTATTTATTTTTTTTTAAAAAAAAGTTTAGTCAATTGGTATGCCTGCTGAAGCAGCAGGGGAAGCTTGCAGTCATATGAAGTTGGCTTATAAGTGAGCCTTGCATGAAGCTATTTTATACTGATTTAGATCATTGGACCATTTAGTACATTTCCATCTAACTGATGGAAACTATGGCTGGCATCCTATTTAGCAGATATGAGATTGTAAACTGAATTTACAATCTCATGTCTTCCAAGGAATCACATTTACAGTTGTTAATGACTGAACCTGACCCCCCAACACTACTTTGCAGCTTGGCAGTGCCCCAACTAAAGCGTTTCCAAGGTGCTGGAGATCAGAGTGCTGGGAAATGATGTCTGAGTGCTCTTCCAGTTATACAACAACTTGAGATGAGCAGTCATGGGAGGACCTCAAGGGGTCTTTCCAGTTGCCTATTCTCAGTGTGTCCCATGACTGGCCACATTTCTGCACAACACTCTTATAGGGCTGCTATCCCACCATTATTGCCCTGTCTGTCTCCTGTTGCATTCTGAAGCTTGTAGTTCAGTGAGGCCTAAGAACTCCCTGGTTGAGAATTTCACATGCCCCTTCTGAAATTGCAAATTCCAGAATGCAACAGGAGGCAGCCAGAACACTAATAGTGGAATAGCAGCACTCTAAGAGGGTAGTGCTGTCACCCCACACTCGCAAAGAGAAGACAGCTTAAAGGCAGAGGAAATTGACTTCAGAGCACAAGTGTTTCTTGAACAGGATTCTCACTTTATTTGCAGATAGCAGAATATAATACATGGGCCCATGGGTGCCTCAGAAGGAGGGGCCCTTTGTTCTTGCCAGGCTGGTATTTTTATACAGTTAGTTAGTGGTTACAATAATGAATGCATAATTCAAATTTATGATTGGTTACAAGCTAGAATTTCAACTCCTCCTATCTTTTTACTTTGAAGCTAGTAGGACCAAAAAATTATCTCTTGTTCTGGCCTTATCTTTGAAGCTTTTGGCAACTACTCAGCTACAGCATTCAAGGTTGTCAGCTGTTTTGAACAAAGCTGTTTGAAAAAGAGTCACACAGATCCATCCTGTATTTGGCCATACAAAATGGCTTCTTCAGACTCCATTTTAAGTATCCCCCTTCACAGTGTGAAGATGTGGTGGGGGAGTGCTCAGATATCATTTCTTCAAAGTGGCCTGATCTCAGTGCCTCAAAGATGTTTAGTGTGGGGCACTTCCAGGCTGCAAAGGCAGGGTTTTGAGGTGATGGTGGCAGTTCTTGCATGCTTTCAAGTCATTTCTGACTTATGGTGACCCTAACCTGGGGTTTTCTTGGCAAGATTTGTTCAGAGGTGGCTTGTCCTTGCCTTCCCCTGAGACAGAAGAGATTATCGCACAGCTTAAAAAAGCAATTTACCTCTCCTGAGTTGAAGTCTCATTCAAAAAGCTCTCAAGTTTGAAAAGCAGCTTGCTGAATGCTCCTGGGACCTGGGCTGCAGCCTGGCTGCACTTGGATGGCGGATTTGGCAGCAAAATTCATGCGACAGAACCTAGCTGCAGCCTGAATGAAACTTCAACTCGGGAGAGGCAAGTTGCTTTTTTAAGCTGTGCGGTAATCTCCCAAAGGAGTGTGAATTGCCCAAGGGCACCCAGTGGGTTTCCATGGATGAGTGAGGATTAGAAACCTGGTCTTACAGAGTCCTTATATGACATCTAACCACTACACATTACACTATATGGCTTGGTTCCAGGTTATCTGAAGGACTGTACCTCCTTTTATGAACCCATTAGAGCTCTAAGATCACCTGGAGAGGTCCTTTTTTTCCGGCTCATTTGGTGGGAAACAAGGAGAGGGTCTTCTCAGGGGTTGCTCCCAGACTTTGGGACTCTCTCTTTAAAGAGATAAGGGAGTTTATCACACTCATTTTTGCTGCATGGGCTGGGGACACACATGAATGAGCGTGAAGGAGGGGAAATGGATTTTATCGCATACAAAAACAGTCCCCATGCCATTGCCTGGCCACCCCCTGTCCTGGCACCATGCTGAGCTGGCTGATTTTGCTCAGCCAGAAAGCTTCCGTCCTTGAAAAATCGGCCGACTCAGCATGGCGCCAGGATGGGTGGTGGTCGGGTGATGGCATGGGGACAGCATGGGGACTGTTTTGAGTGTGATAAAATCCATTTCCCTTCCTTCATGCATGTTCACGTGTGTCCCCAGCCCATCCACAAAAGTAAGTGCAATAAACCCCTAGGATGGCTCCATCCCTGTTCTCCTTTCAGTGTCAGGTAAAAATATTTTTGTGCTATCAGACTTTTTAAAACTCATGTAGGTTGAGCATTTAAATTCAGATTCCATATAGTTTTTAAATACACTTTAATATTTTTAATGTTTCACTTTTTAATTGTATAAACTATTTTAATTATTTTTAAATATTATATTTATACTTTTTAATGCTTTTGCATTGTTTTAAATTTGTATTTTAATTAATTTAATTTGTATTTTAATTTTTTTGTTGTGAGCCACCTCAAGTCCATATTGGGAGAAAGGCAGAACATAAAACAACAAAATGCCAGTCTTCTTTTGTGATGGTGGCCTCAGCCATAATTATGATGACAGAATTCTGTCATTGTACTTACACTGATGACAAAGGATTTCAGCCTATGTCTGGGTGTAGAAGACAATGACCCTGTCAGGTAGGGACATCAGGGCATACAATCTTGATACTGGAGCTTATTGCTCAACCTTTTAAACCAGCTTACTTCTCCTGGCTTAAAATTTAAGTTGGGCAGCATCCTGATATTATCGCAGCGATTTTGCCTCTGAATCTGCTGCCCGGCTTCATTCTAGGTCCATCCCCATTCCCAGGGGCACTCTGGTGGCTATTTTTTTTTAAGCCAGAAAACTCCCAGCTTTGAAAAGAGGTGTGCTGAGTGCCTCTGGGAGCAGGATGGACCCAGGTGGCAGAGTCAACATCAAAATTGCTGTGATAGTATCTGGCTGCTACCCAAATTAAATTTTAAACTGGGAGAGGTAAATTGGCTTAAAAAGCTGAGTGATAAGCTCCATTATCTATCCTGGAGAGATCAGCTTCATCTGCTCTTCAACTTCCCCCAAGAGCAAACACATGGGGCAGGTTAACCCATCCCAGCCCAAGCACCAGCTCTATCCTCTTTACTAAAGCTCATGCCTGGGTCAAGGTTAAGGTTTAACGTGTGCAAGTTTTCTCCAGCCAGGGAAGGCTACCTACAACAAAGTCACTGCAGTCCAGATGCCAGATGCAAGATTACCTGGCTGAGAATAATCCACATGACCCAGGAGGCAGAAAGGGAGATATCCGCACCTTCTTCTATCTCTGATGCCAGAGAAGAATTTCTAATCTATTTTATGGGTCATTATTGGACATTTTCATAAATAATAATAATAATAATAATAATAATAATAATAATAATAATAATAATTTATTTTTACCCCGCCCCTCTGACGAAAAATTGGGGCAGCTTACAGTAGTTAAAATTCATGCAACACATTAAAATACAACACAAAGTCCCTAAACCCTCCCACCCCTTAAAAATAAATTAAACCAGTATAACATTAAAAACATGATAATTAAAACATCAGTTAAAAAAAAGAAGTAAACAAGTAAATAACAGTAGACGGCACAGTGCTTGCTGGGTGAAGAGGCCGGGAAATCTGAGGCCGGGAAATCTATTCAGGAAAGCCCTGCCAGAAGAGATCTGTCTTAACAGCCTTTTTGAAGCTGTTTAATATTGTAATCTGATGGATCTCGTCCAGCAGGCCATTCTATAATCTGGGGGCGATTACCGAGAATGCCCTCTGGGAGGTTGCAGACAGCCTAGATTTTAATGGCTGGAGCAAATTCCTCCCAGAGGACCGACGTGCGCTGGGAGGATTGTATGGGAGGAGGCAGTCCCGAAGATAGGTTGGACCCAAGCCATTTAGGGCTTTAAAGGTAATAACCAACACTTTATACTGGGCTTGGAAACTAATAGGCAGCCAGTGGAGGGACTTTAATACCGGAGACTATGGGATCACACTGTTAAACATTTCTATTAGTTGTTTAACATATATCTTCTCTGGCAACATCTCATACTCAGGTATCTCACTTTTCTCCCTCTTGGAAATGTGATTCATAAATTGGAAAGTGAATTAGTGTGACTCTTAAGGCCACTTCTCAAAGAACTCAGTGAATAAATGCAAGGTTGCTTTTCAAGTGTCATTAAATAACTGTTTTTTATTCAACAGAACTAGAGAGTGCTAGCTTGTGTCAGATTGATGAATTATGTAAAACCTGATTTCCTTGTGTATTATTAATCACCCCAAACAAATGAAGGCATTCTAATTAATCTGTGACTGTTTTCCAGACTAAAAACAGAAATAAGGTCTCTGATGCTCAAATACGAGGGTTTTTATAATAAGTACTATTGAAATGGGAAAGTCCACAATGTTAGCTTATTTCATTAGACAAATTTAGATCTTCCATCCAAAATAAGAGAGCCAGTGTGGTCTAATGGTTTGAGTGTTGGACCATTACTCTGGAGACCAGGGTTAAAATCCCTGCTTGGCCATGGAAACCCACTGGGTGACTTTGGGTAAGTCATATTGTCTCAGTCACAGGGGAAATAAAAGGCATTTCCCCTTGGAACAACTTTTGCCAAGAAAAACTCATGATAGGGTTGCTATAAGTGGGAAATGACTCGAAGGCACGCAACAACTACACATTTTAAATGTATTTCACACATGATTGAGCTCTGGTATTCAAGATATTTTGCTGCCTGAAGCAGAGTCCGGGTGTCCTATGCCAGGACCAAACCTTTTCCACTTCTGCAGAGTAATGTAGCACTGCCAAAGTGAATAAATGCACTATTGCTCTCAGGGATATGGGAGAATTTTCTTTAGTCCACATTTGTAAATCACCTAACCTGCAGTTCCTGTACCAATATTTGGACCACATCTATACTTTGAATCACATGGTTTGAGATGCAATCTTTGGCTCATGCACTGGGTAAAAAAAATGCATGTGCTGTTGGAACTTGCATACAAAATGCATATATTAGGAAAAGTTGCATACAGAAATATGTATATTATGAAAATGTTGTACAGAATGAGTATCTTAAATTGTATTTTTAAAAAAAGTAACTGCACTTGTATGAAGTTTGCAGCTAGATTTACGGTTGCATATGTGTGAAAGTAACATGGACTGACTCTTTCATCCTTAATTGTTTCCCTACCCTTCTATACACTCATGGACTTCAGCTAAGGTTTACTCATGGAAACCTTGCCTTTTCATTCAGTGAAATCATCCAATGTGATTCCTGTACATTTGGTATCATGCTGCATTATGGGTCTACACCTCAACTTTTTGGGCTGACATCAAGACCAGCCTGCTTCAAAAGGTACCATTCTTGAACCATGATACTTTTGAAGCAGGCTATTTCAATGCACTGCATGAAATCATGGTCAGCCATGAATAAGACATAATTTATACCTGTGTATACATAAATGTTTGCTATATGGGATAGGCTGGAAAACTTGTAAGCCCTCACTTCAATTGGTACAGTCAAGGAAAAGATTCCAATCTACTATTCTTGATACTATATGTTAGATAGTATATGCTGGACTGGAGCCATAAATATGGAGTTCCTTAAAGTGAGGGAAGCCTAATTCTAATATAAGCAATTTAAATACCTGAAACTACATTAACAATATTTTTAAAAAATATATCAAACGAACTAGTGATAGAAATGTGTGCCAAGGATTAGTCTTAATGTGAGTGCCTTCATTCCTTTGAAAGAAAGTTTTGAATGAACACATAAGATACAATATTGCCCCTGGTTTTTCATGGCCCTTTCTGTCACTTTGATAGCAATGGCCATATCAGTTATCAAGGAAAATGTAATTTCTATTCAGAGTCATCCTTTTGTCTTGGGAGCAGTTCTGCCTTATGCCTTTGCAGAATCCCCAAGTGTCACAATAAGACCTAGAGAAAGTCTTTTCCTGAATGCTTTTGAGTAGCCAAACACAAGAGACAGGTTGAAGTTTCCTTTTTGCCACAGGCATAGATCTCATGCCTGAGGCTGTTTTAATGTTGTGATCAAGCTTTTCCCTAGCCTTCTCCTTGAACAAAAACCTGACTGTATCTCGAAAGTGCATAGTTTGCTCTAGGCATAAGTTCACTGTCCTATTTTCTATTTTTATTTACATGCTAATACTAGACACACTAGGGAAAAATTGCTAGCTACTCAGTGATCAGTTCACAGTTCTATACTGGGTTTAGTTCTTGAATGCTCATTAATTTATGCAATTTCCTGCCCATATGAATTCATCCATCAGTTCCCAGAAACAGAAACATGGTCATACATAACAAATTGTATAGACTCCCTAAGCTAGGCATCAGCCTGAGACCATGGACTTTCCAATTCGAGTCCTAGAATCTTTGACTTTGGGGGCTTGCCTCTATTTCATTCCTACTAATACATTCCATCCATGGCATCCATAAACATGCTCTCCATTCTTCGCTAACTGGGGAACTGTGGAGACGAATGGCAACAACTTCTAGGGCCTTTAGTAATATTGTAGTAGTGATAGATGAATCTGTGAACCTCCTGACCAGCACTTTGCTTTCACTTGTGGCTGTATGGCAGGAAATGAGAAGTAAAGGTGGATCTCACTGGTATTGCCTGCTAATGGAGGAGGCTTGTAGATAAGCAACATGGAACTGGGGTGGGAGACCAACCGAACAGGATGAGGAAGTAGGATACTAGGTTTGACATGGGGTGAATCAACATGAGAGAGAATGAGTGGAGAGACTGGGCTGGGACTGGAAGGGTTACAATAGGGGTCAGAATCATACATGTCTTACAGATGTTGTTGGACTGCAACTCCTGTTAGCCCTAGCCAGCATAGACACTGGAGAGCATACACACTGCAATCCAACACCAATGGAAAATTTACATGATGTTCACCTGGCACTGAATATAACAATTTCTCCACGAGTTTGCCTAATATACACATTTTTGTAATCAATTTTCCTAATATAACTATATCTTGAAGCTATCATTTTTATACAAGATACATGCGTGTTTGTATGCATTTTCAATAAGCATTTTTAAAGAAAAAAACTTGGAGAAGTCAGTTTCAAAATTCAAACCATGGTGAGTTTCAAAGGATACCTGATTTATTGTTTGTATATCACTTCAAAAGGGTAAAATTGAGTATCTTCATATTCACATGAAAGCCAAATGAATTTCTCTCCTACTCTTACTCAGTTTTTGTTATTGCTAACTGCCTTCATGTCAGTCTCAGCCCATGGCGACCCTATGGATGAGACATCCCGAGGCCCCCCTGTCCTCTACTGCTCTGCCCAGCTCCTGCAAACTCTTATTCATGGTCTCTTTAATAAAGTCGATCCATCCAGCATGTGGCCTTCCTCTCTTTCTACTTCCTTCCACCTTCCCCAGCAT